TACTGCCTGAGGACTACGCGAAGAGGCCCTCACAGGAAAGAAGTACTTTTGAAAAGAAAATGTTGGTGATTTTGCACAGTGGGGGACTTAGGAGACGGACCTGTTTCCTTAGAGTACTTGTCATTTGCTTGTTGCAAACCAGAATGCAGAAGTTAGAGGATGCAGGCGGGAAGAACACATGCAGGAGATGTAATAGGTTGTCAGTCTCTAGGATGCTCAGATTTTGTAGGTACCAGGCCGTCTCTCCTCTCGAAGGACATTAACCTTCCGAGACCACTGGCTGGCAGCAGTGAGGGCTCCTCACCCTAGAACTGCAGTGACTTCCTGCTCCCCATCAGGCTAAGTCTCATGCAGAAAATCATTACATTTGCACGAGAGCCATGGTGCACAGCACCTGAGTGTCACAGGTCTGCAGATGTCCTGTCTATGTAGGTAACGCTATCACATACAGGGTGTAGGGTGACTGAACTCATGGTCTGTCTCCAAACTGATTGCTTCACTGCCAAATGAGACGTAGGTATGTGGGGACCAGAACTTCTTCATCAAAGGAAAACAGGATAACTCACATAGGGCATGCAGTACAGAGTACTAGGTAAGCCCTGGTTATTGCTGGGGACCACATGTGTCTTCTCATAGAGGAGCCACAAGATGAATTTCACAAGCAGGACTTTGCATCTGAACCATTATACACACACACACACACACACACACACACACACACACACACACATAACTGCAGATAATGAACATGCCTAAATCATGTGGAATAGATGAACTGGGCTCTGCAGTGAAGATTTCAATCCAGAGGTCTCACTTCTCCAGTGCTCAAACCACATCTGCCTGCTTCCTTATGGCCTGGTCATGGTTATACATGGAGGAAACAGAAGGTTCCATAGAGGAATGCACAGGCATTTTTCTGGTTCTGTTTCAGAAGGGAAATGCTGATTCTCATCTAGAAATTGATTTTAAGACCCAAGGTAAGCAGTTTGAAAATACTATAGTGTATTAAAACACTAACAAATTTTTTTTAAGCTAAAAAGACATGTTACTTTATTTCAGAAACTTTGGCATGGTATTGGAACTATATGAAGCATTCATTAGACTTATTTAACCATCCCCATCACCATTGTCCTTCTAGACTGCTAATATCTTCAAGTCAAAAATACCTCAGGGCTATTTTAGCCTAATTCTAATACATCCTAATACATTCAACAATCACTAAATAACTGACTGAAAGATTGTCCCTCCTTCAGAGATCGAGACCCCGATGATTCTCAGCTCTCCCCTGCAGAGGGGCTCTTAGGCCTCTGGGTGAGGGTCACTCATTCTAGAAATGTGAGAGGCAAGGTCTTGTGAAATCATCTCATTATAAAGTGTGCTTTCTCCACCATCAAAATAACAGTTTTAATCAAAGCAAGTTAGTTTAAAAATGGAAGCCATCCATAGAAGCTGAATCAAATCCCACTTTGGGCGGTATTTTAAGTGGATTTGGTAAACCCCACAGGCGGTATGGAGCAAGGGTGGGGGAGAGGTGTCTAGATTGAAGTCCCAGAGAAATAAGCCAGATATGAAGGGCTGTAACATGAAGACTTCGGCCCTCAATTGTCCCTGGAATAAGCCGTTTGTCGCTTTTCTCAGGAATGAGAGGAGAGGAACAGTCAGGCGGTTGCCCTCCTTCCTCTGTACCTCTCCCCCTCGACTTTAAACTGATCAAATGCAGAAACCAACACTGAGAATGAATGAGATCCACAATGTGCACAAGAGCAAATGATGCTCCTGTGTGAGCACCCGCCCAAATGCTCCTCTTGTGTGTGCACCCATTCAAAAGCTCCTCTTGTGTGAGCACCCACCCAAATGCTCCTGTGTGGGCACCCACTCAAAATCTCCTCTTGTGTGAACACCCACCCAAGTGCTCCTATGTGAGCACCCACCCAAGTGCTCCTGTGTGAGCACCCGCCCAAATGCTCCTGTGTGGGCACCCACTCAAAAGCTCCTGTGTGAGCACCCACCCAAGTGCTCCTGTGTGAGCACCCACCCAAATGCTCCTGTATGAGCACCCACTCAAAAGCTCCTCTTGTGTGAGCACCCACCCAAATGATCCTGTGTGGGCACCCACCCAAAGGCTCCTGTGTGGGCACCCACCCAAATGCTCCTGTGTGGGCACCCACTCAAAAGCTCCTCTTGTGTGAACACCCACCCAAATGCTCCTGTGTGAGCACCCACCCAAATGCTCCTGTGTGAGCACCCACCCGAATGCTCCTGTGTGGGCACCCACCCAAACACGGTGCCAACACCCAGGAGTGATGCTTATTTTTGTAACAGTCAGAGACAGGAATTTAAAAAGCCAACTGTTTTTAGAGTAGGAATGAACTCCAGCACAAATCCAAGTGCTTTTTCATAAGGCAGGATTTCCGAGTTAAATCTTAATTCCCGGCAGTATAATGCAAATTTCTACTTCTCCCTAATTAAGGGATAATTGCCATCAAAATGTATCTCTATCAGAAATGAGTGGTGGGAATTCAGAGTTGCACTACCTAATATGGTAGCCACTATCCCTACATGGCAATTTAAATTAATTAAAGTTAAATAAAATTTAAAATCTGTTCCACAATTGTACTGGCCATGTTTCAACAGCTACATGTGACTTGTGGTTATAAGACAGACTTATAGAATATTCCCATCCATGTGGAAAGTTATACTGGGTAGTACTAATTTCTTACCCGGTAGGAGAGCTCCAAACCTTGCCTAACCTACTAGAGCTGGCATGACCCAGCGAACACCCAGAATTTTCCATCATCTCATATTGTTCCTATTGTCCCGTCTGAGCTCTCTGTGTTGAGTATTTCCACTTTGGGCTGGGGAGATGGCTCAGCAAACCACCCCCCTCACAAAGCATCTGACAAGAAACACATGGATTAAGCAATTGCTATCAAGATATTATAATGCAAACTTAGACAAGCCAAACAAGTGTCATTCAGCTAGCTGCAGAGTACAAACATGTGTTTTTCAAATAGTTTATGTTTGCTCAATGTCAATTTACTACGTCCAGTTTCGGAGCTTCCAACTTGGGAGACTTGCAAAACATTTAAGCAATTTATACACCAAGGACAAATCATTAAGATCCCCCTGCTTATGCCATGAAGATTAAATTCACACTTCTAGTTCATTCAGAGATGGCAGCTGCTAGGTGTGGTGGCGCACGCCTTTAATCCCAGTATTCAGGAGACAGAGGTGGATCTCTGTGAGTTTGAGGCCACCTGGTCTACAGAGTAAGTTTCAGGAATCCAGAGCTACATAAAAGAGACCTTGTGTGTGGGGGAGGAGACAGAGACAGAGACAGAGAGAGAAAGATAGATGTGGGGAGCAGGGAAGGAGATGAAGACAGACAGACACAGAGAGACAGAGACAGAGCGAGACACACGTATGGAGGGGCGGAGACACAGCTACAGTTAATATTGGAAGTAAGGTCCTTTCTGGGACACGTGTAAGAAAAAGTTAGGTATCTGGTGCATTAAAGTTGAGACTGTAAAATTACTCACTCTGCATTTATTACATGTATGTGCCTAACGGTTCACCCTCAACATGGGAAACTTTAAGTGGGTCAGCTTATTAACTGCTACCGTGGGCTTCATACATTCACATTTGCCTCCCTTTTTATTATCTGCAGCCCAGAATGGAGCTTCAGTCCTGCATTATTAAAACCTGTCTTCGATTCAAGCAGAGAACTGGAGAAGCAGAAACTAATATTGCCCTTTCGGCTGTGTTACTGTAATAGATCTAAGAACTGCTTTATTCCGCCCTGCTTTTTCAATATGCTGGTGTATTTCGGTTCCTTAACAGGACCACACATACAGGAGGTCAGCGTGGGATTGCCCAGGGAGATCGGCTGGCTTCCATTCCACCTGGGCTGTGTTCGCACACTGGCCTTCACAGCCCTGGCCCAGCCCTGAAAGACCTGGCCGGAATAACCGCAACCGAAAGACCAGCAAAGTGCTTAGGGTATAATAAAGTGTCACGGGGGTAGGGGTGAATGGAGAGGGATGAACGG